TCACATGGACGCAGTTTGAATCCCAACTTCACCACGTCTTTGCTTGGACAAGTGTCAAACTCTCTAAGCTTCAGCTTCCTAACCTATAAAATGGAGATTATACTGTCTACCCCACAGAGTTGGTTTGATGAGTAAAGAGATTATTTCCAACATTTACCACCACATCTGGCGCACAGAAGGCACTCTACTAGTGTAGTGACTATTATTTGGAACTATATTGGTAGAAAGATGTGCTTTTCAAGTGGATAAACAGTCCCACTTGAAAATCTTCACTGGGTGAGACACATCACTGTGTTAATTTCTGCCTACGTATTAGAAGGGGAACATAAAAAAGTTATAGCATGTCCAAAGAAGGGCAACTGAAATGTTCAATTTCATACGATTTAAACACAGAATATAACTCAAAATTTTTATATGTTCTAGATATTGGACCAGGCATTGGGATGAGAAACATGACTTACATTTTATGCTTATCTCCAGGAACTCAGAGAACAGTAGTAAAGCTAGGTACAGGCAATCAAGCTGCAATGGTATGGGTATTTTAAAAGAAGAAATTTCTCATAATCCAAGAAATATTCCTGGCAAAGTGAATAGTACGCAGGTAGAAGCTGGTGTATTCAGGGTGATGGCAAGTACCTGGAATGACTAGATGGCAGGGTGTGCTGAAGAGGGGTTATGCTGGAAACAGAGATGGGCATCCTTTCACAAAGGGCTTCCTCACTGGCCATGCTGAGGAGTCTGGGCTTGATTCCTGAGGCAACTGGAGAGTTTCGGTCTAGGGGACAGATTTCATTTTATTAGAAAGCCCACAGGGTGGCTGCAGTGTGGAGATGGGATAAAGGGGTCTAAGACTGGAAGCAGCGGATGTGTTGGGAGACAGCACCAACCTGAGTGGTAAGGGGAGCCTGAACTAAGGTGGTGGCTTTAGGAGTAGAGAAGGGACATAGGTGAAGACAACATAGAGACTTTGGTTTAGATAAATCATAGTTCTAATGAAAAAGAAGATGGATCATAGTTCTAATGGAAAAGAGTTCCAAAAACTCATCTGGAAAATGAATTTATCAAAATTTTGGTAAAGAAAATGGCTACACTTCAGCTTTAGAAATGATGAATTTAAGGTGACTGTGGGAGTCTGGAAGACTCCAGGACATACCTATATACAAAGGACTGAAGCTGAGGAGACAAGTCAGGGATGGAGACGTTATTGAGACTATTGATGACAAAGCTCTAGACATGGATAAAACATTTCAGGGAAATGGACACAGGAAAGGGCCAAGACAAAAGAATGGAGAGCATTTAAGCAGTCCCCAGATGAAGAGATCTTCACACACAGACTTAGAAGAGAAAGTCAAATGGAAAGGAGAAAAACTGGGAGAGAAAGTTAAAGGAACCAAGACAGGAAAGAAGTGGATAATGGTGCAAAATGCTGCAGAAGTCCAAGAAGATTAAAGGATGTGCACTGAATTTAGCACATAGAAGGTTGTTATGATCTAATAAAACTATATAAAAACTATATTTAAAAAACTGTAAGTTGCAATGTGCTTGGTACATATCAAATCCTAACAGTAGGATTCAGTAAGTATTAGAATATGAATATTCAGAGCTCCCTGGAAGAGGAATAAACTGTGAATTCTCTTACACAGGAAGTGTCCTGGCAGAAGTTGACTTCCTGTTAACAAGAACTATCAAGAGAGGTTTCCTGCACTGAGCAGGAAGTTGACTAGATGTCCTTGAAGATCCTTTGTAACTCAGGAAGTCTATGAAACCTAAACAACTCTTTCTAAGGCAGAACTCAGGAAGAGAAAAACAAAAAGTTGAATAATTAGGACTCTCCCAAGAGATCAAAATAAACATGTGAATGATAGTATATACCGCTAAGAAAACATATTAGATCTTAGATCCAACATGGAAAAATAAAGATAGGATTTTCAGGGGCCTATGAATAATGCAGAATTCCTTTGAAATGATAAGTTTCAATCATCTTCAAGAAGATATGCATTACTTTTGTTCTTTTCAGGGAAAGATATTCAAGTACTAGATACTCTGTGTGGTTGTGTTCATTTACTGGTTCTAATGTTCCACTTAACACTCTCACTGCCATCTGCTTCACAGTGAAATATACGTATCTATCATTATAGACTTTGTTTTTTCCTAAATTGAAAACCTTGCAGTTTTACAGACCTGGACTCTCATCAAACCTGTGTATCTCTTCTCTTAAGTACGCATTAGGGTTATATTTAATCAGTGCAAGGAAGGCATTTGTTAACAAAAAGAAGCTAATCAATTTGACACTTATATGTGAAATTCAAGGTCTAAACTTACTTTATTTCTCTAAATGGATACAGAGAAAAGAGGCAAATGCAGATCACATACAAAATCCCTTATAAGTAGGAATTCCGGAGGACCATTGAAGGAGCCACCTTCCCTGCTTTGGGGCCATCTGGCTCCCACAGATAAAATATCCAGGGCAGAAGGCTGCCTAATACTTAAAATCTACCTTAACTTTCGTTACAAGGATGTGAATGTTTGCAATTCCCTAAAGATGGTGGCAAGAGGTTCCTCCCTCAATTTTTAAGCCTTTAGGAAGGTATATAAAGAACTTTTAAATCAGTTCATTTTTCTCATCACTTTTTCTCTCAGCTCTATCAAAAGACTGTGCAGTTCTGAGGTGTACAGCACTTTTCTTAAGACCTATACCTCCCACAGCTAGAGAAATAAAAAAGGCAATTCAAACTTGAGAAAATAAAGAGGTAATTCAACCTCAAGAAAATAAAAAAGGTGATTCAAACTCAAATTCAATCCAGTCAGATAGCTCTTGTTTCATCCTTACATGGTAAGTATGCATCTCTAGAAAATACAGACATTCTCTTCTGTAGTTATAATGCCATTGTCATGTCTAACAAAATCAGTGATAACTCCTACCAGTTCATATTAGAAATTCCCCAACTGTTTCAAAATTTACTTTTTACAACTGGCTCCCTCAAACTAGGGTTCCAACAGGTGCATATGTTGCCTTTGGTTGTTCTGCCTCTTAGGTTTCTTTAACCCCGGAAGTGATCATCATCACATTCTCCTTTATTTTTCCTCATGCCACTGACCTGTTGAAGAAACCAGGTCAGCTGTACTGTGGAATGTTCCACATTCTAAACTGGTCTTCTTGCTTTTTAGTGGTGCTACCAGAGAGTCATTTAAATATGGACTCTTCTGCTCTTTGTGCAAGTTCCTTTATATCCCTAGTTTTCAGGGAGTCCGGATTCTTAGAACCTTCTGATCAGATGCCCCCTTTGCAGACAGTGGGAGAATCCATGGCCAGGAGTCTCCGGAGCAGTGTTTCCCAAAGTCATCTGAGGACCACCATCACATCTCACCCAAGTTACTGCAACAGACTCCCACCTTGTCTCGCTTATTCTTTTCTTGTCCTCCCCTCACCACCACCCCCTCCCTCTCTTCTCATGACATCCAGCACCATCTTTCAAAATGGAAGTCAGACTCCTCTCTGAAAACTTCTCCGAAGATTACACTTGGAATAAAAGCCAAAGGTCTTTACCATGACCCACCTGGCTCCAGCAGATCTGGTCTCTGCCAGCCTCTCCACACTATCACCGACTATCTCTCCCCCTTGCTTAATGCACCTTCTTTTGGCTCCTCAAACACGCAGAACTCTTCCTCTCACTGTTGTGGCCTCTCCCGTCGCGGAGCACAGGCTCTGGACGTGCAGGCTCAGCGGCCATGGCTCACGGGCCCAGCCGCTCCACGGCATGTGGGATCTTCCCGGACCGGGGCACGAACCCGTGTCCCCTGCATCGGCAGGTGGACTCTCTACCACTGCGTCACCAGGGAAGCCCGCACACAGAACTCTTTTCAGCTTCAAGCCTTGGCAGTTGTTTGTTGATTCTATCTAGAATGCCTTTCCCTCAGGCATCTGTGCGGCATGCTTCTTACCATGATTCAGCAGGTCTCAGCACAGAGACAACCCCAGAGGGCCCTACCTGCATCCCAACCAAAAAGGCCACCACCACCCACACCCCCCATTTCAGCATTTTACCCTATTTATTTCTATTATAGTACTTCCCACATCTGGAACTGTCTAATGAGTTATTTGTAATTACTTATTATCTTTCATGAATCTGTTTTATTGTTTTCTTAAGACTTCCCCCAGCTTGATGTTTCCCATGTAATAATTTGCTTGTTTATTGCCTGTCACTTTCCTTTTGGATGTAAGCATCACGAGAGTGGGGAACTTCCCTGTCTTATATCTCCAGCACGTAGTAATTGCTCAGTAAATCTTGCCAAATAAATGAACACCAAAAACTAGCCAGATTGCTTATATACAGGATACATTCCTAGGCTGCAGTCTCTAAGTGATTTTTATTATGTTAAAAATTGCTATAAATTATATGCTATAAGAAGAGCTAAGCAAACTTCACACTTTATATTTCTTAAAAATCAGAATTAAATAATATTCTTCATATTTTCTAAACATATATTTTAGAAAAAACCCCAATAATCTCTATCTTTGTAACCACCATATTTCTTATATATAGCAAACAATCCAACAACAAAATGACTTATTTTCCCATTGCGCCAAAGCTAATATGCTCTCATTATTTTATAAAAAGAGAAAACTATATGCATTATTGTACATTCACTTAATTGATTTTTCACAGAAGCACCACTATAGCACAGTTGAATATTTGCAGTACAATCATTATGCAATTTATATGTCAAGAGACAGGTCATAATTTATTCAGTATTATCCTTGGTAATTATTACTGAGCACTGTAATTTTCAATACTTAAAGGCAAGTGTGTTCTCTGAATCCAACAAAGGAAAAATACTCACTAACAGAGTAAATTAACATAATGGACTCTATGAATTAAGCTAATGGCTTGTTTGTAAGTCTGCAACACAAAAACCAATGAAATATAATAGATTAGAAAATTACCACCTTCATCACTGTTGACTGACAAAATCACAAGCACAATTCTGTAATCACTTACTTCCATCAGTAATTTGAATCCTTCTCTTTTCTTGATTTCTTCTACTAGGTACCTAAAAAAAATTCACAATAATATTTATAATCTTCAATCTAAAAATCCCATGAACATGGCTGACATACAATAAAACTATAATTTCTGATGCAGAGACAAGGCTTAGAAATAAGTAAGGGTACATGTACAGGCACAGGTTTGTATGTAGACAGATACACCTGAGCCTACTGCAATCCACTGGGGCCTGAGTAAAAAGGTACATCTCTTTGATGAGATGATGTCTATCTTACATGTTAGCATCAGACTTCAACCCAAGTGTGAAAGCCACACAAAGTAGATTAGATATATATCTCATTCATATTCTAGATGGGGATTTAGCATAGGTACTTAAATTATCTAGCTGGCTTGGTGGTAAAAGTTTTTGGTGTTTAGTCTTGCTTGTGTGTTCTTTTAAGATCAAGGAAGTGCAACACCATCCTTCCCAAGGCCAGGCCAGAGGGAAGAAAGACTGATCACTGGTATCATGCTAAAAGTAAGTGGGTTGTAGCCATTGATAGAATGTCTATGAAGTTATCTTGAATGTCAGGGAAAAAAGAATTATCATGCCATAAGCAAAGGGCACAGCTACATGAGATATGGAATGTGATGGAGAAAAGACTAAAATGACATTGAGAATGTAGAGTCAATGAACACTGACTCTGCCCCACTGGGCTTGGTTATTGTCTAAATAAAAAGATAAACCTTCTGAACAATTGGCCTTGAAAACTAGTGATTTGTTCATGAGCTTTGAAAAGTTCATAACACTTGACCCAGTATTTCAAACTTGGGGGTCAAATGTAAGGAAATGATCGGAGGTGCTGACAAAAATGTACTTTCCAGGGTATTTTGTAATTTTATATGTTATAGCCAAAAGGAAAGGAAGGAAGGAAGAAAGCAGGCAAGCAAGCAAGCACTGGCTTTAAAAATCCTGTCCGGTCATATGGAATTATGGTACCATCATATTGAATTGATTGTGTAACTAAATTACATATATTCAATTAATACTTAAGGACAACAAAGAAATGCTCCTCTTTGGACCTCAATTCCCTTACCTGTAAAACTGGAATAACACATTCTGATTTTCCAATCTCAAAAGGATGTTGTAAAAAAATTAAATAAAATCATATGTAAAAAATTGTATAGAATATAAACTGTGGAAATGGGGGATTATTATTACTATGTTTATTTACTAAAGGACATTCTAGAATGTGGATATGAAATACACCAGTTAATGGGATGAAGTTCTTTTTTCCCAAACAATTTTTTTAGCTTTTTGCATAAGGTTAAGTACTGGTGCTTAGCATACAGATTATATCATCTTTAAATTATTAAATATCTTAAAAAATCCTATCGGTATTAACTGGATAATATGAATCTTTTATTTTGAGCAATAATGTTGTGACACCACACATGTGCGTGCGTGCGCACGCGCGCGCGCGCGCGCACACACACACACAGATTCACAAAGTATTTGATGTTCTTTCTACATACTCCTTTCCCTGAACGTTTTTTCAGGAGATGTCATGTAGCTGTAAAGTTTTTACATCGTTAGCACACTGCCTAACTTTCGATAAAAGCAATTCCAATGGTCAATAAACATTAGAAAAGATGCTCAAGATCACTGGTAAACAAAGAAGTGCAAATCAGAATAACAATACTAAACCTGCTGCCCACAGGACACTGGAAACAAATTTAAAGAGGGACAACATCCAGTGCTAGTGAATGTGATAGAAAGCTGCTATAAACCTTTCAAAATTAATAATACTCGTAGCTTCTGATCCAGCAAACCACTTATGAGATGCTGGGCTACCAGGAAAACCTCATCAACACTAAGACAGATAGATAGAGAGATAGAGAGAGAGATAGAGATAGATAGATAGAGAGAGAGAGAGAGAGAGAGAGATGCATACACAAATATTGCTGCGTCTAAATCTACATGTGCATGTGTATGTGTGTGTATTCCATACGGAATAATTAGAAACAAGATTAATATCCAGAAATTGGCAAAGGGTAAAATAAAATGTACTACAGCAACACATGTACTACGATGCAGCTATTAGAGGATGGATTATATCCACTTCAATTAAACCACAGAGATGCTCATGATGTATTAGTAAGAGATGAAAGCAAGGGACTGAGAAATGTAGATAATATGATTCTGCTTTTTAAGAAAATGTAAAAAGAAGAAAAAGCATAAGTGAGCCCTCTCCACATGTATATATGATCATGGAATGAAGTATGGAAGACCACATCCTAAAGACATCCTTGATGTCTACCTGAGGAAGCAAGAAACAGGATGCAGTGGGGAGGTAGAGACTATTTACTCTCTTTTTATATCTCTGCAAAGCTTCATAGGTGTGGTGACTCATAATTTTTGAAAAGGAAATTAATAAAAGAAAAAAATACAAATGACAAAACAAAGTAGACATATACAATCTTTATCTATACAAGGAAAGCTTCATGAACCCTATTTTTTCTTACCTTTTCAGACACAAATATAACGACAATCTGCTAGCTCAGTGCCATGATTCCATTCTGAGGGGGCCTGCACTAATCCTGGATACCCCAGATTATGAAATCCAGGGAACGACTCTAGAAGATTCTAGTTGTGCAGTTGATCAACTTTGTGATTCTAGGCAAACTCCTCAGACTCCCTGAGCCCTCCTCAGTTTCCTCATGCACGTAATGGCGATGTGGAACAAGACTTGTAAAATCCTTCCCCAACAGATTAAGACTGTTAAGATGAAACTTCGACACACTGCCCATAGTCTCAGTTTAAAATATCTGTCAAGGGCTTCCCTGGTGGCGCAGTGGTTGAGAGTCCGCCTGCCGATGCAGAGGACACAGGTTCGTGCCCCGGTCCGGGAATATCCCACATGCCGCGGAGCGGCTGGGCCCGTGAGCCATGGCTGCTGAGCCTGCGCATCCGGAGCTTGTGCTCTGCAATGGGAGAGGCCACAACAGTGAGAGGCCGGCGTACCCCAAAAAAAAAAAAAAAAAAAAAAAAAAATCTGTCAAACTGGCTAACATTGCTCCTGGGAGAAAGGCATCCTAAGGCAGAGCTGAATCATTTCAGTTAAAACTCTGCTTTTTGCTAACCACATGGATCTGGGCTTTGTGCCTGATCAATACCCCCATGCAGTCACTCTCAGAACCTGTAAAGCCCAGTGTAAAAAACACTCCAACTGAACTGAGGGTGGAGGTGATTGGGATAAAGAGCTATAACAATAATAAAAGGTTTACACCAGAGTTCCCAAACTATGTTCCTTGGTATACCATGTTAATAGGTTTCCCACATGAAAGTGTTCCATTCAAATAAATTTGAGCAATGCCAGGCATATCCATTAGATTGCTTTTGCTTAAAATTAGAAGTGTACTTGGCTTAATTCATGAGAACATTTATTGAGCTGGTTGGAAAGTTCAGTAATGTCACCAAGAAACAGGCATTTTCTATTATTTCAGCCTGCCATGTTCAGAGTGTTAGTGAATTCACTTGTGTTCACAAGACGGCAGCCACAGCTCCACACATCACATCCATATGTGACAGTGTCCCAGGAAGAAAGAGAGGAGGCTGGAGCAAAATGCATTTTCTCTTAATTTCTATTTAGGTAAGAATATTTTCCTCAGAAGCCTTCATAGAATTCTTCCTGTATCTTATTGACTGAACCTAAGTCACATATCCATCCCTAAGCTAATGACTGGCAAAGGGGATAGGCTTAGGTCAATGTTCCCAGCTGGAATATTGCTATCTACATAAAATTGAGGTTCTGTTGGCAAGGAACAAGGAAGAATGGTTTCTGGATGAACAGTCAACAGTGTCTGCCTACTGGCTAAAGTTTAAAATGTTCCTATATTACAAGCCCCTCAGAGCCTTTGATGTACTAATGAACACTCTGAACCTCCAAGAGAGGACCAATGTATTGGTTAGCATTGTCAAAACATATTTGACCGTGGAAACATTTTTTGGAAGAACATCTATTAAGATCTTCTGGAAGTCTATTATCCCATGGAGCATAGGTTCAGAAATGCTAGCATAAAGTGCCTCTTCTATAGGGTACCTACCCTCTTCTTAAATAAATGCTTAGGGACTTCCCTGGTGGTCCAGTGGTTAAGAATCTGCCTTCCAGTGCAGGGGACTCAGGTTCTATCCCTAGTCGGGGAATTAAGATCCCACATGCTGCAGGGCAACTAAGCCTGCACGCTGCAATTTCTGAGCCCGTGCCACAACTAGAGAGAAGCTCATGCGCCACAACAAAGATCCCGCACACTGCAACTAAGACCCAACAAAGCCAAAAATAAAAATAAATTAATTAAATTAAATAAATGCTTAAATGAAATGAGTTTTGGGGGAGGGGATCCAAATAAGGTTTAAGTCACTTCTGCCCACAGTCACAGGATGATTTATTCCTCGCAACTTTTCAGTATATGGAAACAGCCTAAAGATAAAATACATTAAAAAAAAAAACCACACAACTCTATTCTTATCTGATACAAGCCAGAAAAAAAAAAGATATACATTGAGGTTTTTGATAAAACTCAGGAAACATAAAACACTTCTACCAAAAGGCATCCAGGTAAATGGGTTCAAAAAGCAACAATAGCGCCATAAAATTCACAGTCCTTCCCACTAAGCTTAGCAAAAAGAGAGGAGAGAGAAAAAAATACACATTAGTAAGTTTTCACCAATCTTACTGGGTGAAAAACTCATTTTATTAAGATCCTGGCTTAGTTTTGAAATGTACATTAATGAAATCTTGCTCTGAAACATTTCCCTCCTTAGTTCCATGAGTCCATTTAACAGTTGTGCATTTCACTTGCCCTTTTGCGGACACACATTCCTTTCCAGAAATAGCCTTTCCAGTCCCTTTCTTAATTCACCAGCCACTTGGAGTCTCCCTGGAGCGCTCTGGACCAAGTGCCTCTCCCAGCCTCATCTCATTTGAAATTTCTTCTGATGCAATGGAAACTCCCAGAACTCCTGGGATTTTTTCCATATGCTTTCTGTATGCTCTGCATATATGAGAACATATTGCATGGCATGTGTGATTCATCACAGACACCTACATGCTACATTTTACAGCATTGTGATGTTTTTAAAATTACAAATATAAAGAAAAAAATGAAAACGTTGGCCCTTCTATAGTCTTCTAGACTCTCTCCCTCTCCTCACCTAGAGAAATACACTAGCACAAAACTGCCTTGTGTTACTGCTTACCTTTTCCATACTGGTACCAATAAATCCCTCAGTGTTCATGCAAGTCAGTGAAATGAATTCCATCTGAGAGATTACAGAGATTGTGTGTCAGAGGAATAGATAAATGATACACTGGAGACCTAGCAACATAGCAGAATGGGAGTTCCTGACCTGTTTGTTGTTCTTGAAAAGACTTATGCACATGACTCTTCTAGATTTGCTTTAAAAATTACCCCTTAGTGAATATCCATTTAACTCAAGTGTTGTAACAAAGGCCTACAAGGTGCCCTCAGCAACCAGTAGCCCTGGGTATTATGACACATTTTCAACTTTTCTAACTAGATATCAGAGATCACAATCACCTTGTGCCCGAAATGGTGGTTTTAATAAACCTCAGCCTTCTGGGTTTCAATTATGCTTAATAATCACATGCTGCTTTAGGTTCCCAATGTCACTGGTTTTCCAACAACCAAAGGAGAAAGCAAGTTTTTTGTCATTAATATTTCTTGAGAGAAATGTTATCTCATCCATTGGAATGACAAGGGTCAAATGGAAATTAGGGAAAGCCTCAGAGATCTTCTAGGAACTAATTAGTTCCTTCTTGCTGGATTTCTGACATATTTCTCATAAAATAGGAATCATTGTCCTCTTGAAAAGGTCTGCTCTTGCTTTCCCAAGGGAATAGGGAACATCTGATCAGGGTGATGGCTGTCCATTGGTCCATCAAAATCTGGCCATTAAATCTTAAGGTCAATATACAAATTTTAAAACTAAGTTCCATTCAGATTCAGGAACACGGAAATGTTGTTTCTATGGAATCAGTGCAATCCTTACTGCAATATGCCTGGGGAAAAGACTTGCACAGCCTTCTCTGTGTTTAAGAGACCTGACCTAGGTAGGGCCTGTGGGAATGGGCATCTCATCTCCCTTAGGCTGCTGATGACAGATGTGTACCACAAATAGTAACACAAGTGTCACCTGCAGCTTTACTTTGCTAGAGTTGTTGTCTACTGGAGAAAATCATACTTCTTGGAAACAAAACAGTGTTGGTCTGACCTAGAAATTAAGCCAAATACAGTCTTTTGACAGTGGATGAGAATCATTTTTATTAGGTAAACTCTAAAACAAGTGGCTGCAGGTCAGTAGGCTTGATGAGAAATGGTATTTTAACTCCCACCAGCCAGTGGTTTGAACCGATTATGCTGGCTCATATAATCAATGGTAGTATAGAGTTAGTTTGTACTGGCTAGTGAGAGCCAATTGTTAAATAATCAGAAATTTACCAGCTGCGACTGTTGGTAGCTTGCAATTTTCCACAGTGGGAATATTTACACCACGGAAATTGGCAGACATTACAAACTGGGGCCTTTTTCCCCTCCTGAGAAACAGTTTACCAGTGCACAACTGCACATAGGCTCCAACTAATAGAATAGACCTCAGAATTCAGAAAATGTTTCCTCTTTCCTAAAAAGCAGAACCACATTCAATTTGAAAAGACATAAAATCATGAAAATAAAGCACTTGTGTTGCTAATGTGAAATAATTCTTAATCCCAGAGAAACGTTCTCCAAGTTTATAATTTCACATTCATTCCAAGTGACATGCCTTAAAAGGACTCTTCCTTGGCACCTGTCACTGGGGATGGGGGAAGATGATGGCTTTTGCCCACCCCAGGAATGGACTGTCGGATATCAAGAATGTGGAAAGTTAAGGCAAGAAAACCATTATGACTAATGGCATGACAGAAAAGGGATTATTTTAAATATAGGTCACAGAGTCTGCAGTGATGCTCGCTGAAATGTTAATTCAATTCAATTCAACTTGACAAACATTTACAAACAATGTGCTGTTGAACTGAATTGAAATGTTTACACTTATCCTCCTGTGATATTTCTCTGCAAAATTAGGAAGTAACCTTAGACTATAAATTAAATTCCACCCTGAGATGAATGTTAACTTTGTAATAAATACGATCACCAAATATTTCCATCTAGCCTTGTTTCAAGACACCCGCCATCGAATTACTTAGCAGCTTTGATAAAATAATGCAGAGTCTAGCATACTTAAATAGTATGAGAAAAATACAAACAAGGGAACAGAGCTTTCTGAACTTTTAGTTTAATGGGCAACTATGGATATTTGTGGTAGACAGTTTCATGTTTTCACCACTGTGTAGTTATCTCCCCACTTCTGACGAAGGTACTTTATACCTGCTTCTAACGGAGGTACACTCCTCACACAGTGTCAGTATATTCTATATACGTAGGTGGAGTCGACAGCCTTCCCAGTGCCAAGGGAGAGCATGTGACTCAAAATCACATTTCCCTGGCAACAGTGATTGATTCAGATATGGACATCTGCCTCATTCAGAAGGAATTAAAACCTTCCTTGGGATTGTTGAGAAAGGAGCACCCTTTCCTTTTGACCTTGAAGTTGAACCTGGGAGGCTATAGATCTGACCCTCCTGGGAGCTACCTTCCTACAGAGGAATAAACTGAACATGGAGGAGAGCAGACCTGATTGAAGAACAGAGATCAAGGCCTGGTGATCTTGTTTAAGCCCCTAGAATAAGCCATTCCATAGCCATCACTACACTGGCTTACCAGTAACATGAGCAAATAAATTACCTTTCTTTGTTTATAATGCCTTGAATGAAGGTTTCTGTTGCTTACCAACAGACACAGTAGTTACAGATTTTTCAAACTACTTTTTAAACCAAAATCACCAGAATTGCTGACTTCTAATAGTCTTCTGAAAGTGCCAAAGCCGTCTTTTTCCCTGTCCTTATATCTAAGCCCTTCACCATGTAACCTTGCAGTTCTTTCTGCCTCTTGGCATTGAGTTTGGCCATCTCACATTGAGTTAGGCCATCTGATCTCCTTTGGTCACTGGAATGCTAATAGACACGATGCAATCAGGAGCTTAAAGTATGCTTGTCTTCTTGGGCTTCTGTTACCACCACTGCAAAACCAGGCTCTGGCTGGCCTGTTGGTCCAAGGAAGATGCAAGACATGCAGGCAGGAGACCCAGACCCTCCTCCTACCCCCACAGCCGCCGCAGGATGAGATGAAGCCACTCCAGCCAACTTGCAGACCTCTTAGAATAAACGACTGCTGCTTTAAGATACTGGGTTTTTAGACAGTCCTCAGTGATGCTCAGAGCATCACTGTCACACAGAGAGGTGCATAGAGCACCCATACCACTTCCCTACAGAGAGAGCAAATTGTTTAAATCTCTTAAGGAGACGCTGCAGGTTTTTGCAATTGAAATATGAACAGGGAGTAAAGAAGGAGATTATCCAAACCAGAGATCACAAACCCTGATGCTTCTAGTGGCCAAGCAAGTAAGAAAATAATAACTAATAAAACTCATATAGCACGTGGCATATGCCAGGCACCATCCTGGGTGTTTTACAAATATCAATTCATTTAATTCTACTAACAGTTGTTTTGAGTTCGAAGCTGTTGTTACTTCCATCTTACCGGGATGCAATGGAGGTAAAGAAAGTTTTAGCAACTTGTCCAAGTCACAAAGCTTGTAAATGGTGGAGCTAACTTTTGAGTCCCGGCTATTAGCATTCTGTGCCACAGTAAAATAGGCTCAACAAAAACCAGGGGGCGTGGGGGGCACTGTGGGTCTCCAGAGTCAGGCTTCACCATGTTCAGTGCCTTGTCATCAGGTGGGACTGAGAACACTCTGATCTTTTGAGAGAAACCACAAATCTAGATTTTTGATGGTCTCCCTATTTTAAAATATTTGGAATGTTTAATTTTTTAAAACACAGTCCAGGTTAACCCAATGGAGCTCAGGCCCAACAAATCACATTCAAAACTACATTTGGCCATGGCCTGCCATCCACACACACTGGTCCAAGCTTACCAGTAGAGTTCTGCTCTGGTGGCAAGCACCCAGCACCGGTATCTCAAGAGCTTTCCTAGTGTCGCTGAAAGTGGTTTCACAAGCTTTGTCCTTACGTTACAAGAAGGCAGCGATGACGGTGCTTCCACATCACCTTTACCTGTATGTCTTTCCACCAGCCCCACATTCTCACAGACCATCTTTTCGGGTCCTTGAAGTCACCAGGATCTCTCCCACACCCAGAGATTTGGGCCTGGTGCTCCCTCCTCCTGAATCAATCTTCTCCCCTTTCTTCATTGGGTCTTAGTTGAATGTCACTTCCTCCAGGAAACCTCTGACAACGTCCCTCAAGAACATACTAGGGAACCCTCCCAAGTGCTTCTGGAGCACCGTGTACCTCCCTTTACCAAAAACTAGGTGCTCCTGTATTTTTTTTTTTTTTTTTTTGCGATATGTGGGCCTCTCACTGTCGTGGCCTTTCCCGTTGCCGGACGCGCAAGCTCAGCGGCCACGGCTCACAGGCCCAGCCGCTACGCGGCTCACGGGCCCAGCCGCTACGCGGCACGTGGGATCCTCCCAGACCGGGGCACGAACCCGCATCCCCTGCATTGGCAGGCGGACTCTCAACCACTGCGCCACCAGGGAGGCCCGGTGCTCCTGTATTTTATCTGCTTTGTCACTTGGATGTATCTCTCACTAGGTTGGGATACTGGAGGGCAGAGGGTAGAACTGCTTTGTTGGCAATTCCTAACACATACTAGGTACTGAGAAAATGGTTATTAGATGAAAGAAGGAATACATATATGGAAGAACATCTTTCTATTAGACACCCATGGACACACACACACAGAGCAAGTACCTAGATAAAGCAAGAGCACGGTTAACTTTTTCCTCAAGGCCTAATGTGCCCAGGGCCTTCCAGGTCATCCAGAACTTGAATGCGTCTGGTCTTCTGCTACACTGGATAGACTTGTCTCCCGTATCATAGCTGACATCATAGAATTTATCCTGTTGGAAGAGGTAAGATGCCTTGGCAGAGTAGCATTTCTTAAGAAGGTCCTTTCGGGAAAAATAAAAAAAAAAGGAAGAAAGACAAACTGTAAGACTGTCCATTTTAGAATGCAGTTGATTTCAAAAACACATGCCCACCAACAAAACCTGTATAATATTCTACCACTTTGTGCACAAAGTATTTGGTCTCGCTCTGTGACTGCCCTACATCAGGAACATTAGGTGTGTATTAACTTTGAGACACAGATGACCCGTTGTGTTTTCAAAACAACCAAAAACCCCTCAGGGTTGACAACGCTAAGTCCATCTTCACAGTTGTATTGATGAGTATTAAGAAGCTTTGAAATGATCATATCATCATCTGTATAACATATGACATCAAGATGGGCCAATTTCTCAGGATGAAAAAAAAAAATTGTCTATAACTCAATCAAGGCTCTGTATTAGAAAAAAAAATACCCAACATATTGTACATACTTTATACAATTTCATAGGCAAAAAACTAGGCTTTTAAATCCAAATCCTTTTTTCAATTCATATCCATATTGAAAAGGCCAGAATTGACAGTAACCCAGAGATTAAAAAAAAAGAAAACCTGAGGAAAGAACTTATGGAAGAGTCAAACAAGAGTCAACACGTTTTAACCACCACTAAACAGCACCTACAATTCCATAGAATTGTGTGTGTGGGGGTTGGTCTCACACAGGTTTTATTTGCAACCAAATTCAATTTGCATTTACTGACTGGTTACTTCTCTCTCTGATTTACCCTGGGTGACAATTTACCCTGTTTATTACCATTCTAGAGTCTTTACTTTGACCTCAAATTATTAGAGTTTAAGCCCTACTTCCTTCAATGTCATGTGGGATCTAAGAAATCCCAGGTATCCTAGCCCATCCTTCACAGCCCCACAATCCCCTGAGCATCTTCACTCCTAGGGAATACCCATTAGAACCTTCTGCTTCCCTAGCATAACCAAACTGCTCAACGCCCCTTAATCACTAGATCATGCCCCATTTGTATCTCTGTTCACACAATTTCCTTCTCTTTGTCTCTGTTTTAATGTGTTTGACACACTTGAAAGAATAAATGCAGCATATTTATAAGTTGTGAAGTTTACTAACGCTGAACACAGTCGCCTCTCTCTAGGTCTGCCTTTCCTTTGGGTCCCATCTCAAGTCCTGCTTCCCCTCCAGCTTCTTTATCTGCCCATCACGTTGGACTACCTTCTTCTTTTCACATTTGACTGCATTTGTTGCCTTTGCTCCTGTGCTGCCCCTACTAAGTGAGCAGCCCCACATATTTTCTCCTCGTGAGGCCAAGCAGCTTCTTGAGGGCAGGAATCATTTCCTGTCCATGTCCACATCCACAGAACTTAACACCATTGGGCACAAAGACCCTCACTAAGCAGTTAGGGTGAGGACACCACCCCCCACATTCTGTACTTCTCTCACATCCCCCTTACGTTTAGTATGAACAAAACAAACACAGATACAAGAACTTCTCATTTGGTGCATCTTCCAAACTTTAACAATGCAGAACCATCAGTGCTATACAGGAAGCTAAGGAGAAACTCCCCACGAGTCAAGGAAGTCCTAGAAAATGATCCCTCCTGAAGAAAGAATGTATTACATGCCTCATTTGAGTGATCATCATGTACTTAAAGAATAAGGAGAAAATCTCAAGGTATCACATTCCAAACAAAAGCACACATTCGTTGTCTTAATAACAATACTGTCTTGCGTGGACACTAACCTGGGTATTATATGCTCCAATACCAAAAAGTATGATTCTATACTATGTAAAAAATGATACACCAACTATAGTCAAGAACTCCAAAATCTGGCTCATCCAGTATCCAAAAGTAAACTGATTTTAAACTAATAAAGGAATACTAGTAAGCCTTCAGCCTGGCTCTGATGGGTAATATTGGTAGACACAGGCGAAGAGGAGATTGCCCCGACCTGATCATTAAGGTAGAAAAAGCCCTTATTCTTAAATCTTTACTGTAATTCTATCATCAATCTCTCAACTCTGATCACAGCTGCCACCACTGCCATCTCCCTACCCTCAAAGGTCAGGAAATTCGGTTACTGTTTCCATAGCAACTACAGCCTGACCATATATTATAACATTAAAAGACCACTGCAGTTTAAGGACAAACCACGCGCGTGCGTGTGCACACACACACACACACCACACTTATACTTGCATCATGATTATAAATTTACTTTCATCAACCATGAAAGATTCAAAAATTCCCAAAGCAGATGAACTTTGGACATGTCTTGGGCAAGTTTCAGTGCCTTCTGCTAGTGACTGAAAGGGAGAGGAAGCCCATCCATTAGAGGAAGACAAATGGCATCATCACAGACAAATGGAGAAGCAAAGAGCCCAGAAAGCATATCACAGAATGAGTGATTACCCTGTAGTCATGACACTGTTGATCTCGCTGCACTGAAAAATCCTCCTGTCTTGGGAAGGTTTCATAAAGAACAACTAAAAATATTTTGATATTCACTTTACCAACATAAATGAAAACTTTCCTCCCAAAGTCCCTGCTTTGTATTTTAGTTTCTATCTTTGTATTAAAATGGATGAGCTATCTTTAGTTTTTTTCTTGTTGTTTTTTTTTTTTTTTTTGCGGTATGCGGGCCTCTCACTGCCGTGGCCTCTCCCACCACGGAGCACAGGCTCCGGACGCACAAGCCCAGCAGCCATGGCTCACGGGCCCAGCCACTCCGCGGCATGTGGGATCTTCCCGGACCGGGGCACGAACCCGTGTCCTCTGCATCGGCAGGCGGACCCCCAACCACTGCGCCACCAAGGAAGCCCTGTCTTTAGTTTTAAGATAGACATCAACTAAGAGAAGATGTTCAGATCTCCAGAGAAAACATTTTAGAATAAGTATGGTAAAAGTTAACATTTTTGAAAACATTTAATTAGTCACTGCTGTGCTATCAAAGAGAAGGACCATGTTCATCCTGCTCATCTTTATATTCTTAATCCTAGCAGGACAGTAAACACTAGTTATCTGAATTCTAGAAACAAGTATTCGATGAGAATGCCAATTGCTCCATATTGTGATAGCGTCTCAAACAGTTCTCAGGAATTAGGAGACATTGGGTTAGGATACACACAGTGACAAGTGAAAGAAATGCAATCAAAGTAACTTAAGCAAAAAGGAGAATTTTTATAGGCGCATATATTTAACGATCCAGTCATATATAACCTTCAGGCACAGCTGGATCCAGGATTAAATCTACAATCTGTCTTTTTCCTCTTGTTCTGTTTTCTTCTGTATTGGCCTCACTCCTAAAGCAGAAGGCTGGGAGGAAGCCTTGGAACAGTGTCTTCCAGTAGGACCTGTGAGCCCAGGGGGAGGCTCTGTTTAGAGAGTGATGAGAAACATAAAAGAGGTAGCCTCGGCGGGTGACGCTACCCAAGCCGAGAGACCACTGGCCTCCCAGCCTCAATCTCTTCTGAAGCCAGTGGGCAAGGGAGCCCAGGAAATGTGGTTCCCAGTAGTCAGGTCCCTTGCAGAGCAAAGCTGAGGAAAACTGAAGAATGAATTATACAGTAAAGAGAAATGACAAATGACAAGCACACTACATGACTGCAGAAGCCACAACACTCCTTTTCACCAAGTATGTAACAATCATGACCAGAGCTAACATTTATGGAGTCCTTACTGTGTGTCAGGCACTGTGCGTGGATGAATTCATAAATCTCATAACAACCCAACGAGGTAGATCTATTATTTTTCAGTGCCATTGCACATGTGTGGAAACTGCAACCCAGGGAGGTTCAGTTAATGACATAAGATCATGTAGCTACTGAGTGGCAGAGCTGGGTTTCAAACCGAGGCTGCTAGGATTCAGGGCGTGAACTCTTTACCCATTATATTCTACTCTCTCTGCACTGGAGCTTAAATATTTGTGGAGGAGAGGGGCCTGTAAAAGTTCATGAAGAGTTCTTGAACATGGCAGCAGAGAATATACCACAATAGAGGTCAAAGCAACTCACATCCTGTTTCAGATTCTTTTTTTTTTTTTTTTTTTTTTTTTTTGGCGGGTACGCGGGCCTCTCACTGCTGTGGCCTCTCCCGTTGCGGAGCACAGGCTCCGGACGCGCAGGCTCAGCGGCCACGGCTCACGGGCCCAGCCGCTCCGTGGCATGTGGGATCTTCCCGGACCGGGGCACAAACCCATGTCCCCTGCATCGGCAGGCGGACTCTCAACCACTGCGCCACCAGGGAAGCCCCTGTTTCAGATTCTTACTTTGTTCCTGTAAATACGACTTCTAGTCTTACTAGTGTAATATCTTCTCTGTAAAGCATTTTGAGATTTTTTTCTAAATACTTGTGACTGGTGATACTTAATTTATCACCAAAAATACATCCTGGATTATGATGTTACGTATTTTCATTGTCAAGATTAGCTAAGCCATCTTTGATTTCCACAGGCCAGACCGGGTCTGCAGGCTCTTTCCAAGGAGTCAGTGACCACTTCCAGTCCTCACTTCTTGCAATCATGTTTTTCAGCTTAACAAAATCTCCTAAATACTCTTCCCATATGGCTTTTCACATAATCTGTCCCATATCACCATTATTTACATGCAAGAAATTGCCTAGATGCCTTAGGAAATGGGTGTATTAATCATCTTTGTACTAATTAAGTCATTCCATAATTAGGTATTGAGGACTTTTATAACAAGCACTATGATGCCAGGAGCTTAGATATATAACCGCATGGAGGTACAACACATCCAGGCTCACACTTGTTGATCGAATGTGCAAAACTAAATTTAGACTGTGAATAGCAGGAAGGCTTGGTTGCAATCTAGAATACAAAAGTGAATTTTAAAAATGATTACAGGGCTTCCCTGGTGGCGCAGTGGTTGGGAGTCCGCCTGCCGATGCGGGGGACACGGGTTTGTGCCCCGGTCCGGGAAGATCCCACATGCCACGGAGCGGCTGGGCCCGTGAGCCGTGGCCGCTGAGCCTGCGCGTCTGGAGCCTGTGCTCCGCAACGGGAGAGGCCATAGCA